GCCAAATTGTCTTCCCAATTGTGGTCTAAAGTATGTTTTTGGCAATTTCGACTTTAGGAAAAACAAGTCGCTGTAAATCCAGAAAGGGGGGGGGGCGCGGTCGCGATCTTGTTCTTCAACATCTCAAACGCCGTCTGCGCTCGGTCCCACTTGTCCCTTTCGTCCGCCTGCGCCGTCAGTCTTTCTTCGTCAGCTCGTGCTCCATCCCCAGTCTTTCGACCAGGGTTCCGGCCCATCTCAAGGAAGTCGATCTAGTTTGTCAGGGTCATTGCATACTCGTACACCGACATGTCAAGCCCATGAACCAAGCAGCAAAATAGGCTTCTTCTCTCGTCGTCTGGTATCTACCAATCAGGAGCGGAAACTCGAACCAGCTCTCGTGTAGCGCCGTCACTGATGAAGTGCCACGTATTTATGTTGAAGTCAGTCCTCAGAATGCCTTTCAGCGGAGCGTGCAGCTTGTCCATTTCGAATTCCTCCTTCGCAACCAATCCGCACAACGTGAAGGCCTTCTTCACATCCTCTGCAGTCTTCGACGCGACCCATTCAAGTGTCCATTGTGCCACCGCATCGTACCGGGGGACCTTCGGGTTTTCAGCCTTGGTCTGCAGTAATACTGTCAGAAGTCACTGTGAGCAACTTTATGTGAAGTCGTCTCATGTACTCGACATGTGTAGCGCTCTGCCAATGTAGTCGTCGTACTTAGAGCGGTAGAACTCCTGGTAGCTACGGTTTACAGCAACATCCAAGGGCTGTAACAGATTGGTGAGGTTTGGGGTACAACCAACACGAAGACGTTTTAGCGCTCCAAGCGCTTGGACTCTGCCAGCTTCACGTGGCAACCGTAGGAGTCGATCATGTAAAGCACGGGCTCTCGATAGAGCTGAGTCTCCTAACGTGCACAGATGACAGACTCCGCATGAGCCAGAAGCAAGTCGTTGTTTCACATTTCGGTCCGATTAACGTCAACCAAGACACCCTCCGGGCACTTCGGCTTGTTTTTTTTTTTAGCTTAGAGAACAGGAGATGGGGCTTCAAAAATTCCCCCTCGCCCGTAATAGCAAACGTTGCCGTGAAACGCTTGTGACTTGATCCTCCTTTGCGTAGTAAAACCTTGCGCGAACCACGCGTTGTGATCGTAGACTTGGGCTCCGTTTCGAAGTACCGAGGCACCTGGTCCATGTTGATGATGTTTTTTTGGCTTGATGCCATGCTTGGCAATCAGGTACTGGGCACGTTGGATAAACCCACGGCAAATATCCAGCGCGTCCACTGGTAACGATCTTGTCGTGGTCTGCCTGCGAAAGACCAAGTTTCGATGGGTTTTGAAGCGTGCCAGCCAACCAGATGGCGCCTCAAACCCCGTTGCGTCGGCACCATACAACTGACGGTAGATGTTTTTGGCTTGAAGACGTATATACGAGTCTTTGACACGCAGTCCTTTGTTGTTACGGTGCTCAATCCATTCAAATAGCCGATTCTCCAGATCATCTTGGGCTGGTCGCCGCCCACCACCGCTGAGACGGCGCACCGAACGGTCGGGACTTAACGATCGCGTAAAGCAGCTTGCAGCTCCTCCTTATGAGACCACCACCCTCGAATCGTGCTCGAAGAGATGTCGTGTCGATGGCCAAGGGCATGGAAGCCGCTACCTTGAACCCCGGGGTCGTAGCTGGACAGAATTGATACCTTTTCGGCGATGCTGTAGCTGCGGCGAAAGGTGGGCATGGTAACGTAGCTGCGCTTCTTCAGGAGATGTAGTTGGCGAGTGAGCCTTTGAATGGATGAACTGCTACCGGCTTAATGAAAATGGTTGGTGAATAGACGACCTGCTTTCTAAAAGCAATACTTGTGTAAGCATTGGCCGTGAGATCACCTTATTAACCCAATTAAGGCCGAATTCTGTATTCGACAGAATAATCGATATAGCAGGTGTTAAAAAGTTGAGATCTTCTAAGCTGGATGGTGCAAGAATATTCACCGCATATAGTAGTTTGTATAGGAGGGGGGGGGGGGGTATTTTATCATCATGGATCAGTGATGGGGAGATAGACGGGGGTTTTCCCTGAGGTATAGAAAAGGCGATACAAACGGCTGGGAGGTTTCAGAATTCTATCAAAAACCCTTCGTCGCCCTTCGTCGCCCTTCGTCGCCGCTACTCTCCTCCACTCCCCTTCACGCCACTCATTTCGAGATGACGGACTGGATCGACCCCAAGGAGTTCAAGCGCTTGTGGAGCTCTCTCATCAAGGCGGGGTGGCGTGCGAGACCCCCTGCAGGTCTCAGCTCAGATCATACCCACGTGAAGCCGGGTGTTAAAGGCAAGCTGTGCAAGGACACAGTCAACATTGAGTACTTCGTTGGTACGTTTGGTAACTTCTGAATGTATAACGCTCTTCACTGACGACCTGTACATGTTTAGGCACAAACGCCCTATGGGAATACGCAAAGCAGGAAGGTTTGATCCCTCCGCCTCCACCTCCGCCCCATCGAAGTGGTTCAATTCGTGCGAAGAAGTCTCCGATCGGGAAATTAGCGGCTTATGCTGTCGTCCAACGGCGCCAGCCTGAGCCTCCAGCTCCTGAACAAGGTGCTCGCGTCCATACCGCTAGTGTGGCTGCTACAGAACAAGGTACTCGCGTCAACACCGCTAGTGTGGCTGCTACAGAACAAGGTATGCCAGTGAATGCTGCTAGTCCGGCTGCTACAGAACAAGATGCTGGTGTTGGTGCTGCATTGCGTCAACGTACCACTGTGGATCGAAACACTGGTGATGGTGAAGCCAACGCTGAGGAGGAAATGAAGACTGAAGACGAGCCGACTCTAGATGCATTTGATCGAGATGACTTCATGGAAGCCTTTCGTGCAGAGAATCTGTTTGGCCCCGTTGATATCGACGATGTCAATATTAGTGACGAGTCGTTCCCGTGCAGTGTCGAGTCCGATGAGGAGTCTGCTTTTGACGAGCAGGAGAGTGATGAAGAGGAATACGTGGATGAAGTCGAGTCAGACCCAGAATTTGAGGACACAAGCCAGGGCTTTCGACAAGATGACAGGGCAATGCGGGAGCTTGCCAGCTCAGGGTGGATTTTGTATGGCGAAGATCACTGCGGTAAGCCTGTGCAATACAGAAAAAGTGTAATCACAGTCTAACTTGTTCTGTATTGAACTTGATGCAGCTGACTTGAAACTGGACGGAGCTGCCTTGTATGATGGCAGATGGGGAACCACGAAATCGGCGGCTGCTTTTGCGGAGTCGCCGATTGGAATGTTCTTTAACTTTTTGCCCAAGTGTCTCTGGAAGAAAATTGCATTGGGGTCCGAAGTCTATCGGCGAAGATGCATACCTGCGATTGCCCAGCAGACTCGTGAACGCCAGCTAGCAGCTCAAGCAAAGGATCCTAAGAAATCTGTGAGAGAATTAGAAGACATCATCGACAAACTTGAAAGACAGAAGCCCATTCGAGAGCACGAGATTTTGCATGTAGCAGGCCTATTGGTGGCCCGTACACTGTGCGGACACACGGACGGCTTGTCGAAGCATTGGGCTGTCAGTGAAGATGGAGCTGTTCCTCGGGATACCTTTGGACGGTACATGAAGCGGGAGAGATTCCGAACGATAACACGCTTCCTCCATTTTACCCAACAGCGGAGATACAACCGCTGACAAGGCGTACCAGATCCGACCCATTTTGCAGGTAATCGAGAAAACGTTTCGTTGTGGATACCGTCTCGGACCTCGCGTGAGCTTTGACGAGGGGACAATCCCAAATCGAAGCCAGTATAACCCTATGCGGACCTACAACAAGTAGAAGCCGCACAAGTACGGCACGAAATGCTACATGACGTGTCGCGCCGTTAGCGGATACTGCGCAAGGTTTGTGTTGTATTCAATCTCCGACAGAATACGAGATCTTGTTATCTGTGTTATTCTGTCCCAACCCCGTATTATACTGAGTATGCTAATGCTAACTTTTTCTTATTCTGTATACTACAGAGTTGAAGTTTATCTTGGCGCTGAACCTAACAAGAAGAAGAGCGAGGGTGCTTCTCAAAGGGCAGTCATTCGCAATATCACCAAGACGTTTGATGCCTTACCCAAGCAGCGGCTAATCATAACCGACAACTTCTATAGTTCGCCAGCGCTGCCCCTCTCGCTGCTGCCGTTAGGGTTCTATTACGTTGGAACACAACGAAGTGACCGACTGGGGTGGCCAAAACAGCTCATGTTCAAGCAGAAAAAGAGACCACACTACATGCCTCGAGGAACGTAACGGATTGCCCAGGCCAGGCATTATTCGCAGCTTGTTGCTGCTGCGTGGATGGACTCGAGCCCTGTCCACCTGATCGCCACAGGATGCTCCACAGTGCAGACCCACGTATCGAGGAAGGACAAACGGACGGGGGCTACCACGCGG